TAGCTACACCAGTTGAGAAGGCTCGGTGGAAGGCTGTTGGGGCTGTTTTTGACACATGGGTTGGACAATGTGTAAAAAGGGGGGATGTTAGAGGCTATAAATCAGATGTTAGAGGCTATAAATCAGGAGTGGTTCTGAAGGGGGGTGAAGGGGGGTAATTTGCATTAAGCAAAATTCATTTAGCACCTAATGCTGGATTTCATTGAGCTTAGCCCATCAGAGAACATCTTAAATTAGAACAACGGTTCACATTTTGCTAAAGAGAGAACGGCACAATCAAAAACAAACTAGCAAAATGCTGTGCAGACACAGGTCTGTCATGGACACAAGCTCTGTCCATTGTGCTGATGTACATGAGGATGTGGGAACGAACACGGGGCCAACTCAGCCATTTGAAATCCTTTTTGGGGCTCCTCCACAGATTGGACTCAAGGCTCCAGGATGTCCTCTTCCCTCCACAACTTTGTGTGAGGATGCTATGTTGCTATGTTGTATGTTAACCTGTCATCCACTTTAGCGACTGCCACTGGTCCACTTAACCATCTCCAACCCGGCGACTTCGTGCTGGTCAAGGATTTCCGGAGAAAGAGCTGGAAATCCAATCGTTGGCCCCTACCTGCGTCTGGTCAACCAGACAGCGGTCAAGGTCGCCGAGAGAGAGCTACGTGGGTCCACGCCAGCCACTGCAAGGTCGTAGTCACAGGAAAGGAGAAACGGTAGAAGCAGAAGACAACAAGTGACGTGTCCTAGTCACCAACAAAAGTAGATGACAACAAGTGATGTGTCCTAGTCACCAACAAAAGTAGATGACAACAAGTGATGTGTCCTAATCACCAACAGAAGTAGATGACAACAAGTGATGTGTCCTAATCACCAACAGAAGTAGATGACAACAAGTGATGTGTCCTAATCACCAACAGAAGTAGATGACAACAAGTGATGTGTCCTAATCACCAATTTGCTCTTGACCTGTGTCATATTATATGTCTGTTTGATTATCCCAATACTGAAGAAGTGCGTTTCCAGCATGGTATCCTCAGCTTTCGTTCAGTGTACTGCTATTCCATTACAAGACAATCCTTTGCGCCACAGTGAGATAGACCAGCTCTTATCAGAAGAGTCTGATTCCGACACTACAAAATAATCAATATAATCATGTGAACCGAGTGTACTCTCCTCTTATGCTTACATTATATCGGAGTCTGTCCTCCACACAAACATCCAGTTTTCTATGATATATTTGTGATGTGTTTACTTAAACCAGCGATGGAGTGTATTCATTGATGTGTTATATCAGTCTATCCTGTCATTTGTTTTTATTGATCAAGTATGATCAAAAGTGGGGAATGTAGTGGAAATGTTATTCTATCCTGATATGTTCAAAGTAAACAAATGCTTCTCATTTGGTTACTGTGCTGTTTTCCTCTATCTTCTCTACTTCAAGGCCACAGAGCTGTTTTGGCTACTGAGTTGACTCACACAAAGTCACACGAGAACTTCTACAGCTCAAGGCCAGGTGTCTAATAACAATGTGACCGTGTGAAGATTTCTTCTCCTCCCCACCTTTTTACTCTCTCTTTATATTGCTTTGCTATTATTCAACTGGGCACACTCGCGCAGACTATCCTATACTCTGTGAGACCTGTGTCTATATTTTATTGTATCTGATGTTTGTTTGAGGCCTCGAATAAACATCACCAGAAAGACAACTCCGTTGGATTCACCATTTATTTGTTTTCTGACTTGTACTCTACAGTATTGGGGTTTTTAGATTTCCATAACAATTGGCATTGTGCTACATTGCAGTAGCGAACGTGACATTATTTAAAAAGCACTGCTCTAATGGTAAGAATTGGACTTATGGCCATTTGCTTTTAAAGTTTGAGTTACATCCAGTATGTCATGTATCGTTTTTGTTACAATATTTCAATAAAGTTGCATCAAGTCTCAAGGATTTGGGTTAGGATGCTCAAGGATGCTTCTTACTTCTTTTGCTCTAATATAATAAGATATCATGGGTAGTAAGCCACCTCTTCAAGATGAGAATAGTAACAATGATTGATTATGTTTTAATTCTAACTCCTCTCTTTCTGTTCAAAAGAGGACTCTTAATTATGTCTGTCCTAGTGTCCTTGCAACTTAATATATTGGCAAAATTAGACAGTATTTTACCAAAGTGGAAAACCTGGCCCTAACAAGATGCAAGTTTTAGCAGGCTTTAGTTTTCACAAGCAGGGAAACTAATGAACTACATCGTCAGTAAACATGTAGCTGACTTGATTCATTATGGTAATGAACAACATAATCTGGGTGTCCTTATGTTTCTTTCAAAGCATATTTGAAGTTGCAAATTAGAAATATATAAATCTAATGCATAAGAGAGGGGACAGAATAATGAATTGGAACAAACAATGTGGAATCTCCATAAGGTAAACTAAACAAGCTCAATGCGAAAACACAGAGTACACTTTCCCTTCCTGCTGCACTTTCTCAATCTTTCGCTCTTTTTGCATCTGACTCATAACATCACTTTTCTGTCAAACCGTTAATAGAGGTTTCGTGAGAACAAACTAGCTATATTTCAGCTGACATACAGAGGGTTACTTACAAAATATATTCCGTTACAATAATTACCTGTAAAATTAAATGTAATCAGTAACCTAATCTAAGTATCTAAATATAAAAGTAACGTAACCTGATTTCTTTTAGTTACTTATTGTTACTTCAATATCACAGAAAATGCTCTATTTAGTTTAATACATACAGTTGAACTCACACACACACTATTTTATGAACATATAGGTTTAATTACAAAAATAACAAATGAACCAAAGAAAGACCATAAAGCAGATACAGGCAGTAGAATATATAGAATCAAACTTAAAGTATTAGCTTACAGAACAGTGTATCTTTCAGAGAAGAGATAACATCTGATCCTTTTACAACAAACAATATATGCTCCTTTTAGTTTTCTAGTTTGTAATCCTGATATAAATTCACAATTTTTTGAAATGTAACAGTAATCTGATTACTTACTTTTTTTATGTAACTGTTATGGAATACATTAAAACATTTTTTGTATTTCTGATAATGTTATCCCGTTACATGTTATCCGTTACTCCCCAAGCATGCTGACACTTCTTTTGGAATACAGGCTATATAAAATGTTCATGCTTGACTTTTGATTGCCAGAACGACAATGTAGCAATTGTGCATTACAATAAGCCTTCCAAGTATGAAGGAAAATAAATATGCACATTAATGCGCTTAATAACGCTCTCTCTGAGTCTCTACCTCTCCTCTTGCTCCTCTGGGTGTCTTTAAACCTTTCTGCCTCCATCAGTCTGCCAGTCTGCCTCGTACCGTTATGTAACTTCAGATATCTAAGCGAGCCTTATCTGCTGTGTGTGTGTGTGTGTGTGTGTGTGTGTGTGTGTGTGTGTGTGTGTGTGTGTGTTCAGTAGTACTACACTAGCATAGCTGATGTCATTTTCCACTGGGCTTTAAAGTAGAGTGTCTTCCTGTGTGTGCCATCACCCCTGCTAATAGTTCATATTATATGTAAAGCCAAGACCTACGACCAGGAGAACTTAGGGAGAAAATACAATTACATTTCCAAGTGTGGAACATCTAAACATTCCTAAAGAATCCTGCAAAATTAATGGGAATTTGTTCTGTAATTGTAAAGGAAAAAGAAGATACCTAAGAGGAGCAAACAAAAAGCCAGACAAACACAAAAGAAGTAGTACAAATCACACCACCTTGATTCTGTTCCTTATTCATTTTTTACTGGCTTGTTCCAACAAAGTCATACAAAGGCACATCGGCTCTCATCACAACAACAGTCCGTACAAAATTATTAACAAGGCAGTAACTCTCCAGTATAATTAACACACAAAATCACTTAGCCCAGTCATTTATGCAGACGTTAGCAAACGTTTAATTATTGAGGGTAATTTTGTATAGTAAATAGGCATTTTATATGGTTCAGCTAGCAAAACCTTTAAATACAATTGTGTTTATGAATGTAATGCCTTTTCCCCAAGATTTAAACCTTAAGACTTCAAGCCAAATTGTAACCTAAATCAGAATTAAAAATGTAATTCATTACATAATTGATTTTCCTGCTGGCATGACTGCAACAACAACTAGACTGCTTAAATATAAATGTATATTGATATGTATATTGACTTAGTTATGTCCAACAGAAAACATTCAAAGGGGGAAATATATTCAGAAAATATCTTCCAGCCTTAAACATAGTAGTGAGACCAACTATACAAATTGTAGATAAACAATAGTTAATTCTGATTGCATGCCTCAATTAAACTGATCTTATAATGTAAGCATGTTTATTTTATATGTAGGTAGTTTGTGAATGTTGAGCTTGCTGAAGTGTGTGCTGGTACGGATTGTGATTTATTCTGTGTCTTATTTTAGATACTTTCTGTTAGTTCACTGCCATGTCGTACATATTGAAATCTTGCGTGTGTGATTTTCCACCGTGTACCGTATTGTCAAAGTGCACACGGCTGCTTTGCCCTCATTGGAAGTGAAGTTGGCCACTGTTAGTTAGCTAGCTAGTCAGCTAATGAGCTAGCTAGCAACGTTACTGTTCACAGTAGCAAATTAGTACAGACTTCTCAAGTAAACCAATTAAAGGTGGCTTCTTTTCAACACCAATGAGGTAGGTGTACTACATTGTACACCTACAGTTATTGTGATGTATGACTTTTATTTATTGCGGTGTTCACCAGAACAACTGCAATCACGGTGGGTCCTGCAACTTTGTGACCTAGCAATGATGGCCGGCATTGAGGATGAAAAATGTCCAGCGTTCCACACATGACTTTTGGACAGTTATGAGTGCACTCATAGTGACTTTGGTCATACTTTGCATTGGGACACACTTATACCCTAAAAACAGCAAATGTAAGTATACAAATGTAGGCAAATTGAGACAGCATGTGTATATGAACCAGTCCGGATGAGTTACTTACTTTCCCTCGGAGCCGTAGCTGTTCATGCTGTCCTCTATGGACTCGTGGCTGGCCTGTCGGACGGTCCGGCTCGGCATCTCCACAGCCAGACCCGTCTCCGTGCTCCTCTGGATGCCTCCCTTCAACTTCCTTCCCTCTGTATCCACTGCAGGGGAACACACAGACACACACATTCATTCAGCTGCTTTACACACGCATGTAGTACTGGGTTTTTTTCCACTCAAGTATCAGCAATGGCAAATCAGTTCGCTGCTCCTTCACTGCAAGTGGGACCTTTCGACCCACCAGCAAAAAAACACCGGTATGATATCCTAGCTACAAAATGGTGGCACTAGCTCCTCATTGATATCAGGAGTGCAGAACGATTAAAAATATTCTGTTAAAGACTGCAAACCTGTCGATTTCTACTGCACCTTGGCCAATAACATATGGAAAAAAACGTAATTTCTGTATGTAGCACTTATTGAAAGCTAATGCAAAGCTAATGTAAGTCGCTTTGAATAAAAGCAGCAGCTAAATGTAATGTTATGTAGAAAGTAAATCAAATATATAAGAGAAAACTGTTCTGGTAATGCAAGTGTAGAGCCAGCTGAGGATGGTAGCCAATTAAAATAAATTAAAGAAAGTTTTGATGCTCTGAATTATTGAAAATAATCCCCAGGTTTCTTTCAGTTGAAGCTGTTTTCGTGTTTTTCCTGCTTTGACTTTATTAGCGTCAGAGGAAGGACGACCGCATTGATGGGGAAGCTCTTTAACGAGGCCAAGGACAAAAGCACTACATTTCACCTCGGAGCACAGACATACGTCTTGTTGCAAAATAGACCACAAAATCAATGCACCGCACACTTTATGGGACCTGTGTGTGTGTGTGTGTGTGTGTGTGTGTGTGTGTGTGTGTGTGTGTGTGTGTGTGTGTGTGTGTGTGTGTGTGTGTGTGTGTGTGTGTGTGTGTGTGTGCGTGCGTACGTACGTACGTGCGTGCGTACGTACGTGCGTGCGTACGTACGTGCGTGCGTACGTACGTGTGTGTGATGGATGGAGGTTACATTTATAATTAAGCTATCTGGTACGAGGTCTTTGACCTTGTTTTCAGGACAGGACAGGAAAGTAGTTTTCTTTTAATAGTGAGGACACACACAGGGACACACATTAATTTTGTAAAATGGAATCATTTTTATAATGGAGCTTTGTTGTTCGTCTTACTGCAAGCCTTTTGCCTAAAATAAATGCTAAAACCCACCAAATTAATGTATTAAAAGTAAATTCAATCAAATGGAATACATGTATTTCTGCCCCTCCCCCGCAACAGCTTCCGATCAAATCCTGACGAGGTTGTTCTCTCTCTTTCTCCACAGACAGTTTCAATTACCTTAATGGAAATACAAATGATTTAGGAAGCCTTGCACACACATACAAACACACACCATGAAGTTAGTGCTGCAGTTATTAAACAGTGACCTAGAATGATGCTATTTATATCGTTCACATGGGACGCTGTCAGATTTGGGTTACTGCTTCTGTTTCTGACTGATCCATATGATCAGTTTTCTCTGCCGTCAGTCTGTGAGCAGACACAGCAGCACTGTTACATATACAGAAGTGGGGGAAGATCATTAACTTAAGTCCTGATAGAAATTATATGGTCCTAAAATTCCATATTACATATTAAAGTCCCAAATTCTAAAATGTTTCTTAAGTAATGGTGCAGAAATATGATCAACTAAATGCCGTTAAAGAATCAAAAGTAAAAGTGTTAAAAATGCAGATTTGCTGTATTCAAAGTATTATAATATCCTATAATATTATTTTATCCTGTTTTTATCACTTAAGTTAAGTGTAATGCAGTGCTGCCTTATTTCATATAAACATATCATGTTTTTATATATAAAGCGTAATCAATAACTGTGTTAAATAAAGTAAAAGTATGGTATTTGCCTCTTAAATGTAGTACAAATTGTATGTACTTGAGTAAATATAATTTCCACCATTGCACACATCAACACTAATGTCAGAGCAGACCAGTAAAAGTGTCAGACTTATGTTACCTGGGATATTCAAAATAGCACACCTGATTTTTTCATTTCAGCCTTCAAGTCACAAGCAGAAAACTCCTCGGATTACAAGCAATACAGATTAGGTCAGGAGGCACTTTTAATACTATGAGATCCGGTTAGGAGCCGGAACAGCCATGAAAAAAGGTTTGTAGTTGTATAACACATTTCATAAACCCTAATCTTGCCCTGTGTCTGGATTTACGAGCAACCAAATCTGCTTTATTTTATTCCAGCAGTCCAATGGGCACTATGGAGGTAAAATCAGTCAAGAGTCACTCTATTCCAGATTCACACAAAGACACAGATATGACAATGTTCTGCAAACTCTGTCAAGCCACAAAAACCCCAAGATAATAATTGTTTTGATTCAGGGATTCAAATAAAACTTGTTGTGTTTCGCACAGATTGCGTTCCGAGTTTCAAAAGCTCACTATGCGCCTCCTCATACTGGTAGAAGAGGGATCTCAAGGTACAATACATTTAGAAGTCAATATCAATACTAATGCAATTCCTGGATTTGATATACCCAGTTGATACCAAGGTAAAGAAAATACACATTATGTAGTATTCACAAAAATTCCAACACGAAAATGGAACAAAGATACAGATACATTTTATTATTTTCTTAATTAGAATGTGAGTGTGAGAGAGTTGGTATTTATCACTTTTTGGGGACATTATTCTGTTTACACAGTCACGTCATTGGGACCTCGGCAGTTTTAGGGACATATAGGCACACACAGAGACGATTTCAGTTGTATCTGCTAAAGTTTTTTATCGTATATACAATCATTTCCTGAATCGATGATGCCATAGCCCCGCCTCTCCCCACCTCTCCTGCTCATCCCCGCGTTATTGCTGATGCATTTCGCCAACAACAACAACAATGGCATTAATATAATAATAATAATAATAATAATAATAATAATAACTAGAGAATGCAATTTCTGAAGAAATTGCTAGTGGGAATGCTTTATGCTGAAAAGCTGACGCTAAACTGCTATGCTGAAATGTAATGTGTAAGAAGAAAGTGAAGAATTTAGATTGAAATGATACATGAACACTGGGTGCTTGAATGTGTGATGAGAGAAGAAAAGAAAGTAAAAAGGCTTGGAAAAGCAGCAGAATATTTGAACTGCAAACTTTTTAACTAATTTGATGGTGAATGATCTGTCGCCATGCCAACGGCATTTGATGACATCCCATAATATGCTTAGATGCGTTGATGGCTGCATCGTTACCAAAGTTATGAGAAAACCGTGTTTCATGGCGAGCATTTGAAGAAATCTCAAAACTGTCCCGTAGATGTCTTCATGGCTGGACTGTTAGCACACATGTGAAGTTTGAGCACTTTTTAAACATTTTCATAGGAGTTATAGCGACATCGTCTTTTCCATGGAAACGGCATATGATGAAACCCCATAATTGACGTAGAGCTGTTGAGGGCTGGACCGTTACCATTATCTGAAGTGTGGTGCTGTTTTGACCCTTTTCATAGGCGTTACGACAACATCGTGTTTTATGGCGAGGGATGCGTTTCCATGGAAACGGCATATGGTGAGATGTCAGATTTGACGTAGAGCTGTTGAGGCATGGAGAGGTGATATACAGGTGAAGATTGTGGGACGACCGGACCGTGTCCATTGGAGCTACAGCGACATCGTATTTTATGGCGAGGGATTCGTTTCCATGGCAACAGCCTATGGTGAGATCTCAGATGGGGTTTAATGGAGACATGTTGAAAGTTTTTGTCACTTCATGCCCTCAAGAGGCATTTAGCAATTTTTTTTTTTTTTTCAAGCTACGAGATGTTTTCCTACGTTTCTCATGAAAAATGATGTCTGTGATTTAAAAGTTGATTTACACGAATAATGTCAGAAAGATGTGTAACATTTAAAGTTGGAATGAGGTTTCTGAGTGAAAGTATGAATGAACAGTTAGCAGTTGAAGTTGCATGAAGATTGTTCAAGTCTGAAGAGTTTCTCCATTAACTTCCATGTTAAACATTTGATGAATTATGGGATGTATCTCTGGAATTATGAAAGTTATGAATGAGAAAAGTAATAGCCATCGATTCCCGACCGAGCAGAACGTTTTGATGTTTGAACGGAGTTTCTGCGATGTGGAATGTGGGAGAAGAAGAGGTGCAAAATAATAAAGAATTTCGTGCGTAACATAACAGATAGTGGGAATGCTGTATCACTATGCCTGGCATATGTACTACAGCAGGGGTGGCCAACCCGCGGCTCTCGAGCCGCATGCGGCTCTTTGCCTAGTTTCATGCGGCTCTTCAGTTCATATCGAATTTTATATGTGTGAGTTTGGGGGAGAGACACTGACTCCTGACTAGTGTTGCACGGTGTACCGATACTTGAAAGGTACCGCGATACCCTGTCGTTAAAAACGTTACGATTCCCCCGTTTCATTAGTATCGGTACTTTAAGAATGACGGAGAAACTCCGGTGAGAAAGCGCTGTTTAATAAGAGCCGTGTGTGTTCAGCGCTCTGCTTCCACTCCCTGCACTGCAGCCGTGCCTGCAGTCCCGCCCCTCTCAAGCACGCTCTAAGTCCCTCCCCTCTCTCGTGCACGCGCTAGCTGCCAGAGCATGTGAGAAAACGAGAAGCATGGCTGCAAGTGGTAACTTGCCGCTGCGCCTCGGCCTGTCTGTAAGACATGTATTAATTTTATTTAATACGAATTCTTGTCATTTATTTTATTTATTGTTCTCATTGTTTAAAAGTTTGTGTTATGGTTATGGTTCTGGTGTGAAATAAAGCACAATAAATTACATTTAAGACTGTTTCCCTTTTTTTAAGAAAAGAATCGGAATCGCAATTCTTGACTTGGTATCAAAACCAAAATGTTGGTACCGTGACAACACTACTCCTCAGAGTTAAACCTAATATTTAGTAGATCTGTTAAGTATCGAATGCTGATAATTCTGATGTAAATTGGCCGGTCAAAGTTGTTTGGGCTCGGATAAAATCGCTCCGTTACTTTCGTCCCGTGTTACTTTCGTCCCGGCTCTCCCTACGTGTGTATGTGTGGTGTCAGTATGAGAGGATGCCAGCGCGTCTAATTTTGATGTGGCCCAAGAGCCAATCACAATAATACCTGCGATGCAGTGAACCAATCACCTTTGAGGGGGGGAAAACCTATCGTTGATTAAACACTATCCAGTGTTTCCCATACCATTGTCTTGG